TTTGGGTATTCCATTGTTGTAATAGGTCACGACCCCATAAATTCATTGCAATATTGGCTACATATGGCCTTAATTTTCCTATTTGTCCCTCAGGCCCTATACATTCAACCCATCTTGTGCTCTGTCTTACTCGAGATAGGGTTCCAATTCCCAGGAGCTGAACATTTACATTCTGAAGAGGCCAATACGGATGCCAAGATTCTGGGGTAATGATACTTACATCAGCACCTGTGTCCAGCAGGCCAGTAATAAAAATGCCATTTACACACACTCTCAGCTTAGGTCTTTGATCATTTATAGAAGTTTGCCAAAACACACGTAACTCATCTTTCTGCTCATTATCGTTTGTAACAGTAGGCATGAGGTTTCCTAATTGTCCTGACGAGGCACGTTCTCTGCAGAAACTGGAAATGACTGAACCATGTTTGCCATGGGGGCCTGTGAGGCCCCCCCTCTCACGTTTCCCGTCTGTATCAGGTTGCCTTGTCTATCTCTTGTAGACCTGCATTCATTCGTCCAATGTCTACCTTTTCCACATCTTCTACATAAACCTGAAGGCTGAGTCCTCCTATTTCTGTTATTTCTAGAAGATGCATTATTATTATTTCTGAAGATCCGTTGTTTACAATTCCTTTTCATATGACCCATTTTGCCACAATTAAAACATTTGGTATTCTGGTGTCTCCTTTTACCATTGGAAATTGCTTCTTCTACCCATGCTTCAGTGCCATAATCAAATGTATCAACATCCAGTGTATGCAAGACCCATTCTTCCAAGGGTGCTGATCTGAACCTTAAAGGCCCCAAAATCTTTTTGCATTCCACATTTGCATTTTCATAAGCCAAAGACTCAATCATTATACGTCTTGCGTCAGGGTCAGGTATCCCTATTTGCACAGCCTTAGTAAGTCTTTGTAAAAAATCACTAAAAGGTTCTCTCAGACCTTGTTTAATTGTGACAAATGATTCCATTCTCTGTCCTGGGTCTTGTACCCTGTCCCAAGCCCTTAAGGCTGCTGTAGTGCATATGGAGAGTGTGTTTTCGTCCAAATTAGCTTGTTCCTGAGGGTCAGAAAAGCGTCCTTCACCTAGAATTTTATCTAGGGAGATGTCACTTCCCTTCGCCTTTTCTTGCTGTTCTAAAAGTCTAGCCTCTTGCCTGAACAAGCATTTCCATTTTAAGTGCGGCCCACTCTCAAGGACTGCAGAGCTCAGCTGGAGCCAGTCCAATGGCGTAGCTCTGCTTGTGGATGCCCAAGACTTTAGCATCTCTTTAACAAAAGAGGAATGCATCCCGAAAGTCATGACAGCCTGTTTAATTTCTTTGAGATCATTCATACGGACATGCTCCCATGTATCTTCCTTAATGACCCTAGGGTTTCTGGAACCAATCACCTTCTCTGTTGTTATTACTGGAAAGGCAGGTAGAGCTGTAGGTAGAGATTTGTGGAAATTGTCCCGGAGGGATTTACCCACAGATGTAGTTAAAATTTGCCTTTCTACCGTTTGTTCTTCTTCATCAGAATTTAGAAATTCCTCAATCTTTTCAATTCTATTCACCATTGCCTTCTGCAATGTCTGTATCTCCTGTCCAGAATTATGTTCCAAAGCCTTCATTGAGGATTCTAAAGTATGAAGTTTGTCCATTAGAGATAAGTTCTCATCTTTGGACATAATTTTTATGGCATAAACCGTGCCTTCTTGTATTGACAATCTTTCTGCCAATCTGTCATAAGCTTTAGACAAAATCCGATAGTCACATTCAGCAGTTTTGATTCTCTCAGTTACTATTTCAGTTCCTACAGAAAGGGACTGAAGCTTACAACCCAAATCAGCTGTTCCCTCTTCCATAGTAATGAGTTTCTCCTTAATATCAGCCACTAATGTTTCAGTTCCTACAGAAAGGGACTGGAGCTTACGATCCAAATCAGCTGTTCCCTCTTCCATAGTAATGAATTTCTCCTTAATATCAGCCTGTAATGTTTCAGTTCCTACAGAAAGGGACTGGAGCTTACGATCCAAATCAGCTGTTCCCTCTTCCATAGTAATGAATTTCTCCTTAATATCAGTCTGTACCTTTTTTAAATTTTCCTCAGTTGATCGAGTCATGTTAAACAAAGATCTGTTCTCCTCCTGGAGAACTTCAAACTGATTCTTGAGAAGATTGTTGTCATTCTCAATTGTTTTTAAGCGTGCAACCTCTGCTCGTAAAGACTTTATCATATTTCTATTATCAAACCATATAGTGCCAAGGAAAACTACGAATCCCAGAAAGATCCATAGAGGTGGGGTGATAGACACCTCTTGTAAAATCTCCCACATGGTACAATTAAAAAAACTGTTAAATTCTTGAATGGTAACGTGTTCAGACATTTTAATTATAAAAGAAAATTTTTTCTCTTACCTGCAACGACTGGTTCCTGCCGGTGGTGGTCTCTGTGGTTTTGGAGCCTGTCTTGGAACTAGCTCTTGTAGACCAGGTTGGCCTCGAACTCACAGAGATCCGCTTGTCTCTGCCTCCCGAGTGCTGGGATTAAAGGCGTGTGCCACCACAGCCTGGCCGGCCTTGAACTCACAGAGATCCGCTTGCCTCTGCCTCCGGAGTGCTGGGATTAAAGGCGTCTGCCACCACCGCCTGGCCGGCCTTGAACTCACAGAGATCTGCCTGCCTCTCTGGATATTATGGGCCTGAAGGCAGAGTGTATCTGGGACTCAGCCCTGGGGCCCGAGTCATAAACTAAGAAAATGACACCCGGGAGCGTGCTGTGTTAGCTAGCAGGCTACGCGCTTGAGTCGGGGGCAAAATAGCCCGACGTTGGACGCCAAAATGTAACGGCGTAAGCGAATGCAGACAGATTGTCAAAATATAGACAGCTTTAATGGAGGAATAGACTTACAGAACCACTGTTCCCGCGGAGACCAGGAAAGCAGAAGAGAGCGCTGGGAGCACGCTCACCAATTTTATAGGAGAACTTTAGCCTGAGGCGAACACGCCCCCTAAGGGGTGGGACTTATCCCTACAATGGAAGAAGCAATTTAAATTTTAATCTATTTTATAGATGAATATACATTGTACAGTTCAGTCCATATTGTGTTAAACTAGTTCACTTTCTTAATTCTTCCCATCAGACCTTATTGAATATAAATGATCACTGCACCATTATTGACTCATTGGCTTCACATAGTACCACTGAGTCATGGGATAGCTCCTGGATGCAAAGACCTTATTCCTCTAAAGAACAGACAGATCTTAATCAACAGAAAAGCTGAATATCCCAGTGTCACACCTCACTGGCTTCCTTTCCCTCACCCTTAGCCTCCAAATCCACTCAGGGAGCATACCTTACAGCAAACTGTGCTCATCACAGTCCGTGTAGACCAGGCCATAGGCCATGTGTTCCTTGTGTGCAGAGAGGACCACCATGTCTTGTTATGTCAGGTCTCTAACAGTTCTGTGACGCTTACAACACTTGATGTCCTCCAGACTTCATAATTCTTATTGTAAATTCCATCTCAGTTCCCCCAAACGCATTCTTCTCATGGAAACCCAGTAATTTTCCATTAGCTGATTAGAATGGCTGTGAATTTGTGAGGGAATGACTGGCTTCGCTCTCTTTAAAGTCTGCTCCATAACCACCTGTGATTGCTGTATGTATAAAATGACTTTTGAAAAGTTGGCAAGCCCTAATAATCAAATGATCTTCTTCCTTTTCAATATTTTGTGTTTGCTTTCACCACTGTTCAGAGTCCTTTAAGTTCATGGTTGCCTTGTTTTGATACAATCAGGCATTTTTTTAAACAGTGTTAAGTTGTTTTATACAAGAATCGCAGAGACCATTTTATCAGAGTCGTTTCAAAGTAATTTGGAACTGCAGGGACAGTATTGAAGGGATTTGACCAAGACCATAGGGTGAGCCAGGGGCACGAACTGCCAAGAGGCTGGTAGGGCACAGGTGCTGTGCACCTGATGTGCTTCAACCAAGTCTCCTTAAGTCTTCATTTTCCAGTTTTTTCCAATATCAAGGGAGCATTCCATTGGATTTCTTATCTTATCTTGGGTCTTACTATAGGGAACAGTAATAGGACTAATATGTGTGTACCAAAATGTCAGCCCATGATGTTAATGGTGCAAGTAATTTCTAGAGAAGCTCAGTTCATAATGGTAAGCAAAGAAGCCTTTCTGGAGGACCCACCATCTAACTGAGCCTTTGCATCTGTACAAACACCACAGTCATGGTTCAAGTTCCCAATCTGTATATCTACAGGTCTATAAAAGTGTTATGTGCCTCCCGCCCCCTGCCGTAGTCTTGCTCACATTTTCTCATTACATTTGAGAGCAGAGGGGATAAAATTGTGGGAGTGCAGTGTGAGAACCACACTAAAGCTTGGGCCGTTCCCATCCTGCCCCTACTCTGAAGTGGTTAGGAAGGAGGCTGCTTGTGAATACCTTCATTCTTTCCGTAAATTCTGAATCATTCAGATGATTTATCACGAATCCCACCCCCATGTGTATCACTCGTGTCCTGATAATTCATGCACAGATCCTCTGTTAGCACCAAGGAACAGGTGTGTGCACCAACTAAAGATGGCTGTGTGCGTACCGTCGACCCAGCAGGCTGGATATCAAATTGGAAGCAGCACGAGGCCCCAAAAGCTGTTCTTCTTCACCCCTCTCCTACTTTGCCCAGCTTCCGTGGCTAAGGACTAGCCCCGTCGGTGGTTACAGGCACTGATGAACCTCTTAGAAAATACCTTGACATTGATTTAGGTTTGGTGATATCTCCTGCGGTCACCAACGTTTGCAGAGCAGAGTGGGTGATACTGAAATGCCCAAATCAGGGGGGTTTACCATTCAGGACACTAAAAAACCATGATTTCTTAAGGTCTTAAGGTCCAAAATCAAATGAGTCATTTTTCTCCTCCAGGTTGCACTAACAGCACTGGCAATATTTTTCAAAGCTAGAATCATTAACACTGTGAACGTCTGTTTTTCTCCTCAGACAAATTTTGGTATTGTCGGCTTTCACCAAATCACAAGGTCTTACATTATGGTGACTTGGAAGAGAGCCCCCAAGGAGAAGTGCCCCATGATTCCCTGCAGGACAAATGTAAGTGGCTCCCTCCCTGGTACAGCACACCTGAACTTTGATTGGTTGGTTATGTTTCATTCATGGCGTACCATGCAGAGAACGCTTGGCTTCAATGAACCTTTTGAACTTGACTCATCCCTGAATTTCAGCCTGAGCATTCCCATCAAGTGCACGGCCTGGAAGGATTTGAGGCTCGGGGATGAGCAGGGCAAATATCAGAGGAATTCTCACACACCTTTTCTGTCTACTTTAGATAGTATGTATCTAGGGCTGTTTCAAGGAGCTAGAAACATATAAACCTGAATTTGTCAACCGTGTTTTGAATAGCCTGTGAAATAGGTTTTTTTTTTGTTTTGTTTTGTTTTGTGTTTTTTTTTTTACAACCTCTACCACCTATGACTTAATGTGTCCTATAATTATGAAGTGGAGTTAGTGAAAGACTCAAGTACTACTTTTGAGCACTCAGATATTTTGGGAACTTAGGATAAGTGGCTTTCTAGAAACACAGTAGTCTTCCAAGATATGCATTATTTTTGTTCATTAGCCTTTGCCATCTGCTTTGTTTAAACACATGATTTTGAAGAGATAGTAACCCGTGAGATCCTTTTAATGCAATACTAAGTTAGGTACTAAGACCTAAGGTTCAGAGCTCAGTGTGAGAGACTAAAAATTATTAAAACTGCATTGAAAATGCCAGGGTGGTGAATTAATTTGGAAGAGAAATAAGACAAAAGTAATATATCCTTGGAGAACACTCTAGTCAGAGAAATCAACCAAGGGCCAGCTATCATGACATGCTTAAATAACCTTCAGAAGTTCCATCAATCCTGCTGTGTTTAGATAGGTATATCCCAGGCATTGCCTTTGACCTCTGACCACCTGCTGTCCTCACATCTGCCCTCCCATTACCCCAGGGCCCGTGAAAGTCAAATCTGGACTGCCTGCTGTATAGCTCTAGACCACAGGAAGCAAAAATAAGCCATGAATGGGAAACTTCCTGACACTTTCAGACTGTGCTGACATCTCAGGCAGAAAGCCTAGAACATTTTCTCTCCCTCCAGTTTAAAAATGGGACGGTCTGGCCTTTGTAGTGTCATACGGTTCATTCCCATCCATACAAGAACTGCTTTCCCAGCATGTATTATTGATATCCACAGCAGGAAAAAGTAATCTGAAACCCACAGCTGCAGGCTGTGCCTGGCTAACACAGGCTGTGCCCCCCAGCACAAGCTGTGTCCCCAATACAGGCTGTGTCCCCAATACAGGCCATTCCCCCAATACAGGCTATTCCCCCAACAGAGACTGTGCCCTCAATACAGACTATTCCCCTAACATAGGCTGTGCCCCCCACAACACAGGCTACACCCCCAGTTCAGGCTGTTCCCCCAACAGAGGCAGTTCCCCCCAACACAGACTGTGCCCCCAACACAGACTGTGTTCCTCAAGACAGGCTGTGCCCCCTAACACAGACTGCCCCCCAACACAAACTGTGCTTCCCCCAAACACAGGCCGTGCCCCCCCCAACACAGGATATAATCCACGTCTCAACTTGAACATGGGCATGTAACTGGCAATTTGTCAGTGTTAGGCACAGTGCACCCAGTTCCTTAGATAACCAGCAGCCCTACACCTAGGGAAAATTCTAGCGGTTGACCAGCACCTGAACCCCATAAAAGGGCAGTTACTGGGCTTTCCCACAGAACAAGGCCCCTCACCTCCACAGCCCCAGAGTTGAGCAGACAGCTGGGTATGCAAGGAGACCACCTGGTTTGGGTGGTCCCAGATGAGCGCAGCCAGAGCTGTGAATCTCCACTCTCCACACAGGTTTTGGTAATGGCCTTGGTAATGGCCATGGGCTGACATTGGTTCTGGGAGAAGGTAGCAGTCTTCCTCCCGAGGACGGACGCCTCCGACAATCTTGTCTCTCCATTTCCTCTGTGACCTTTAAAGTCCAGAGATGCAGAATTCCAAAGACTGTATCACGCCCTTATCCCTTGCAAAGAGAGGTAGAAATTATATAATTTTAAGGTTGTGTGTTTGTCTGGGGAGAGTGGGTTGGTGAGATTGTATCTATCTGTGTAGGGGTCAGAGAAGGGGGTATATTCTTATAATAAAGTGAAATAAAGTTGTGTCTAGGAAAGCCCTGCCCTGCCCTGACCTAGGAAATTAAATTTGCAACTTCAAGCACACACACCTGTGTTTCCTTCTGTGCCAATTCTACATTCTACCTGGGCCGTTAAAAGCAGAAAATGTATTCCACTAGAAAAAATAAGTGAGAGACATTGAAACCCTCAGGCCTAAATGGGATGTCTCCATCAAATCCCCCCCTCCCCCCAAAAAAAGCTCAGGGAATTCAGCAGAAGAGGAGAAGAAAAGAATGTAAGAGCCAGAGAACACAAAGGAAATGAGGCCTTCTAAACACACCAGGACCAAGCACGTATGAACTCACAGAGAAGAAGGCAGCATGCCGAGGACCTGTATGGCTCCCCACCAGACAGGACCCTAGAGATGAAAGGAAAAGTGGACACACGCCCCACCCCTAACCCAGAAGCTCTCTCCAACTGATAAACACTTGCAAATAAAAATTTAGTTTTCTTCAAGGAAGTCTCATTAGGGAAACAAGCTACCCTTAAGGGTAGGCTGCGTGCCCAGCCATAGATGCCAACAGGAAATGACCTCACTGGCATCTTTGAAGGTTCCTTGTCTCGTAATGCTGTGTCAGGACTTTTCCCTTTCTCGTCTTTTTCAATTTCATCTTTTGTTTACACTATAGGTTCTTTGCATATCTGCTGTGGCTTCTGGGTTTGTGTTTTGATGGGATTCTTGGGTGTGTGAGTGAGTAAATCTGTGTCTACATCTGTTTTTTATCCTTTTCTGGGTGCTTTTGCTTCTATCTGCTTTATTCTGTTATTATGTGTTTGTTTTACTTTATTTTATTTCATTATTATTCCTTTGATGCCTGTTTGTTTTCTAATGAGAGACAAAATGAGGACGGATCAAGATGGGAGGGGGAGAGAGGAGGAAATAGGAGATGTAGAGAGAGGGGAAGCTGCAATCAAGATATAACTTACGAAAAAAAAATCCATTTTCAATAAAAGAAAAAAAGGAAAAGGATCTTAATGAATGGTAAGAGTCATTGCCTTGCTGTGTATTTTTGTCTTCTCCTGAGGCAGGGGGAATTACCTTCCACCATTGACTTAACCAGGGCTAAATAGTAAGATATTGATGAGTCAAATGGTTCAACTGGACCTTCTACTACAGCTAGTCTTAGTGAGGACTGAAGGATTCTTCTTAGCTGTCTTCTCCCTTAAGCGTTGAGCCAATGCTTTCCATATTCTTCCTAATTGCTGGGAAACGGGGCCCTTGAAAAATCCACATTTCCCCGCATCCCCTCTTACTCTGCTTCCCTCTCAGGGCTTCCAGGCTGTCGTCACCATCACTCCCATTAAACATGAGACTCATTTGCTTCCTAGCCACGCTTGGGGCCCCTCAAGGCCTCAGTTTGGAGGAATCTAGGCCAGTGTTCTTCACCCCCACCTCAGGGGAAAGCGCAGGCCAGTGCCCTCCTCAAAGATTAAGCCTATTATAGGGGATGAGGCTAGCAGCTGACAGCCAGAGAAAGTGGGGGATTTGGGTCATGAAATCACAGTGAAGAATTTCGGTCCCTCCATCTACGGAGAGAATTAATGCAGATTATTGGTAATAGGAATAATGGCAGGTGGCATTTGCTAAGTGCATAATGTATGCTAGGCTCGGTGCTCAGAGCTTACATAAGTTATCTACTGTACATCCCGAAGGGGCATTTCATCCATATTTTATAGATAAGGAAAGCGAGGTAGAGAAGCATTAAGTATAGCTAGTTGACAGTCATGGGTTAGTAAACAGTGAGATAAGGATGTTTGCAGGCAGCCAAACAGCTCCACGGCCAATTTTACTTTACCATTTTCCTGCCTGAGCTAAAAATGGTCTGGAACTCTGAGAGCTTAAACCTAAAGTGGTAGAACAAGAGGCTGAATGAGTCCCCAAAGCCTTGGTTTCTGGTTACAAAGGCACAGAATGGACCCTCACTCTGTGCTATGAGACTGATCTGCTAGGTTAGGGAGAGCAGGCTCTGTACTAACTATTGGCGCGACCTGCCTCCACCCTGTCTCCTGCCACAGAAGTGTCTAGGAGGATACCTGCACACAGCAGTGTCTGCACACAGCAGGTACCAAAGGCATAGAGTGAGCTGCCTCCTGGAGACGTTTTGCCTTGACTTGGCCCCAGGAAAACAAAGCTAAAAGTGTTCTCATTGCTGTGGCCACGTTGGTTTTTCGGTATTATTTTTTTATTTAAATCATAATTAAAGTCTCTTCTAAGATACTAGCGAGGAGCTTCCTGAATGTGCTTGGAGTGAAGCCCACATTCGTGGCTGTTTTCATTATGATACTGACACCTTCCAAACCCATGGAGCACTAAGACCAGATCTGTCCCTGGCTAGCTGTGTGATATCATGTAAGGGGTTCTTCTCGAATGGAAAATGGTGGTGAATGATGGTTCACCCCAATCCTCCCTAAACTGAGTAATTATGAGACGTGAAGGTGTGCCCCAGAGTAAGGGTGCTTGCTGCTTCTTTCTCCTGCTTCTTCCAGCCCTGTGCCCTACTTCTTTATCTTCTTCCCATGTCAAAAGACCAAATCAAAAAGCTAGCCTGGCTTTGAAGCCCTTGTGAGCGCCCCATGGTGTGAGTATGAGCCCTTGGTTTCTGCCCCTGGACCAGAGGACACTGGTCATGGCTCTCCCCGTGTCTAATCCTCCAGTGCAGCTAGAGAAAAGCTATGAAAAGAAAGAAAGGAAAAAAAAAACCAGACTTTCAAAGGGACTGTATTTTTAGAATTTGTGTTTTCTTTTTAGTCATAATCCCATGAGCGGCACAGCAGCTTATCTCCCTGATAGAGGACAATGGATATTTAAATATAAAATATGTACAGCCACAATATCCATTGAAAAGAGATTCCCTTCTGTGCAGCCTTTGCATTGAGGATTCAAAAGACTGATCCATGGCAGTTTTGTATTTTCCTGGTCCCATTCTACATGTTTTCAAAGCCGAGGGGTAACTTACTTTTGCAGAGGATAGACACTGTGGAGTTCATTAAGCATTTTATATCTTATAACAAAGGATTCTCTACAGTATACTTGTGATTCAAACTCCTGATGAAGCTTTAGGAGGAATTTTGAATTGCCTTGCTAATTAGATTTAAAATTCCCTTCAGTGTCTCCATTGCAAATGCAACCAGCCTCTCCTAGTGTTCAGATATGCCTTGCAGACAGATCAGCCAGGTAGGCAGCAAGGCCAGTCCTTGGTTATGAAAATGGACTTGTGAGACCTGAAGCCAGGGTTCAAGGCAGGCTCAGGAATCTAGGCACCCACCTACAAGATGTTTAATCAGAGGAGGTCAGGAGAGGGTCAGAAAGAAAAGGCATCTGAGATATAGGGCTGAATCGGTCAGGAGAGGCCACACCGCTCCACTGTGGCACAGGAGCAGGCAGCCCTACACCTCTGAGTCTTAGCACAGCAAAAGACCTCTAACCCGTGATGGTAATGAAGGAGGACCCCAGTCACTTACGGCCACAAGCTCATTTACATATATACCCGTATCAGCATGCTGGAACACAGAAAAATGAAATGGCAGACAGGGACTTTTTCGTACTTCCTCTTACATTTCATTGGCCAGAGCACAAGACCCCAGCTAACTGCAAAGTTGCTGGGAAGCATTGCCTTCCTTGTGCCCGGAAGGGAGAAGGAAAAGCCAGGAATTGATAGTAAAATTGAATACAACTGTGGACTGACTACATGTCAGAGGAGCTGATGCTGATGCTGTGAAGTAGATGATGGAGAAGCCTCCAGAGACTCTGGAGGAGCTCCTCAGTTCCCCACTTCTCTGGGTTGACGGCTCTGGGCACATTACCACACTTAGGCAGAATTCTCAGTTGTCTTTGTTATTCTGGGACATTAGCTTTTAAGGGACCCTCCTGATCTAGTGTTTTAATATTCTGTAATTTTATAACTTTATTGTTTACTATCAACCTTATAATCAGTTTATTCAGTGCGGATGTACAAGCTTAAACTATGAAATCTGCCATTATGTCCACCTTTACGGAAGTGTAGGGAACTGATTGCTTCCAACTCTCCTTCGGCAAAGCCAAGTCTGCCAGCATCTGCAGCTGGCTTCACAGTCATTTGTGGGGCTGGCAGATTTGGGATTGGAGAAGGATGGATAACTTAGTGTTGTTTTTTAAATCAAGGTTCTGAACCATCCGACTCGTCCTTGTCCCTCTCATTTGATCTTAAAGAATATTTTGAATGTGGTCCTTTTTCTGCTTCTTATCTCCCTCCTACTCCCGAGCAAGACTTAAGATAACATCGTTCTATCTAACTGCATTATTTTCCAAAGGCTCTATTGGAAAGGGAAGGCTCCTTTATTGTATTGAGTTTATTTCCATTGCCTGTTGAACAAGGACAGCTAAACCTACCTTAAGGAATTGTTATGAGAATTAACTATTTGGAGAAGGGAGAAATTTTGGAGGCGAGTTCCGAACTGTGGAGTCAGACAGGTGATTTGGGCTAGATATACTTGCTCTGCTTATCCACCACTCAGAAACAAACAACGTAGATGCAAATGCTAGCTAGAGGTATCAATCCATATGAAGCCTTTGGCATTGATCCTAGCGCCCAGAAAGCCTTACAGTGTCGGTATTAGTGCCATAGCCACTATTACCTACTGCCACATCTGTTAGAATACCATCACTAACAGCACCACTATGTAGGTGTTATTTTAATTTTTAGTGAACCAAATTATATTTATGGAACTAACATGCTAGAGATACTTTTTACCAGAACATCGTATGCTTGAGTGTCTAGTCTCTGAACGCTGCCTGGCCTCTTCCTCTTGTCACTTCTCTTCTTTTTTGTTTTGTAGTGGCTTCGGGCAGTGCCAACCATGGTAGCAGACTCAATGAGTACCTTTGCTCCTGTATTGACATTGAAGCTTTCAATGGTGTCATAACTTTCATTGTTTTTATTAATTGCAGTGCCGGTGGCAGATATCAAAGCGGTGGTGACGGGAAAGGACTGCCCTCACATGAAAGAGAAAGGTGCCCTTAAACAAAACAAGGTATGATTTCTAGAGTGTTGTAAATGGCTGTCTGTACAATGCAGTGAGCCATCATAGTGATCCCAGCCTTCGCTCACAGAAATGTACATGCATGTGTTGGAGGGTTCACCCTGGAACCAAGGGCATTGTATGTCGAGTTGTACATCCCGGCTCTCCCATTTTCTTCCCTGGGCCATTGCTCTCATGTCTTAACGCGCTCACTCCCTCTGCCTGATCACCTTTGTAATGCCTCTTCTCTCTTGTCCTCCTACTTCCTGTCTACTTCCAACCCTAGAAATTACAATGGCTGTTCTCACTCTGTCTTTGTATGAGCCTCTTCTGCTCACCGTCAACCCTTCTTTAGGCCTCTTCTCACCTCCGCTTCATGATATTCCTGCTCCCTACACTGCTTCACTAGAGTCTCAGTGAAGCCCAAGACAGACTTCTGACTCAAAGAATGTCATGAAATATTAAGTGCCTTGTATCCTTCAACATCATAGAAAGCCGACTATTAAGTATCCAAATGTAGCTCAAAGGAGAGCAGTACTCAGGAATACATACTTAGGTGTCTGTTAAGTGCAGTATCTCTCTCCATCTCTTTCTAGTTTACTGCAAGTTTTCACCATGGTGGTCCACATTGTTTTATGAGGAAACAGGGAGGGAACACAATCTTGAAAGATAGAAAATGTCCTCTGTTTCTAGGTCAGAGGGATGCATTAAGGAGCCAATTCTTTGTTTATACCCGTTGGTATTTTATATACCATCCATTAAAAGGAAAATAAAAATTTGGCTATGTGTGGTGATATACACCTGATATCCTAGCCCAAAAGAGGATGATGCAAGAAAATCATAGCCAGCCTGGACTGCATAGCAAGATCGTCTTTCTAAAACAAAACAAATCTAGATTTACCTGGCTGCTCTAGACATCTGTGTACCAAATGTCACATGAACCAATAGTTTATTTCTTTGATTCTCAAAACAGTGTCTAAAAGGAATTTTAAAAACTCATATATTCTGCTTATCAGTCAGGATTAACATAAGGGGTCCCTGTTTTCTGATTCCAAATGAAGATAAAAGGTCATTACCCAACGACTATACTCAAAGAAAACCAAAAGTCCTGTGAGAGTATTGTTCAGGATGCCAGAAGGGAAGGATACAGGCAAGGATGCTGATTGCAAGATCCCTGCTCCTTGTGACATAGGGATACAATTCAACTCAAGACCATGTGCATTTCTTCATTGCTAAGCCCACCCCAGCACAAGCCAAGGAGGTACTCCAGTAACAAGCGTAATAATATGGAGGGATGCTGGAGGCACTAAAGTCTGGGGAATCTCTTGTAGAGCACCTGTGGGGGTTTCCATGTCAGAAAGATGAGAATTGTGTTGTCCTTATACTCCAAAGAGCACTATAAACTGTGGCAACAAGTCCTAGGTTTCATGGTTTGCCTATTGTGAGGCTGCCTTCCTTCAACACCAGCAGGGAGGGCCATATGTTCCACATGTCAGGTGTTTGCTCTTAAGTCTCAGAGAGCACGGGCTCTGTTCAGCTCCAGAGAGGTTCCTGGATATGTAGCACTTGAACTGAGCATGAAGTCATGTGAAGAAACTGACAACACAAGAGTCTAACCCAGAAGCCTGGGAGGGCTGGCTGGCAGTAGAGCAGTCTACCAGGGTTTGAACGTGCTGACTAGGAAACGGGAATTCTGTAAAATACTTTCAGAGACATTTTCTGCATTTGCCCCAGTTTGTGAAGGTCCTGAGGGCTGTCACTCTCCTCCGCACATTAAGAAGCTGAACGAAGGGACAAGTTTCGTGAGAGACCCTGCGGTAGTAAGTCAGGTGAGAAGTGACCTATGAAGACAGCTCATGTCAACTTTGAGCATGCAGATGCTTAGGCACATACGTGCATACACACCAGAAAGCACATACAATAGAGCCCAAACATGTGAACATTCATGCATACACAGATACTAATACATGCCACACATACATTCTGCAAGAAAAAAAACAAAGCCCAATTGTCTTGCTCTATTAACATAAATTATCAGTCTAAAGACCTGGCTCTCGTTTTCTGTTACCTAATATGTCCCAAAAAAAGAAATTGGAAGTATGCCTCCTTTTACCCTAAAATGCAGGGTGGGCAAGACAGCCTACAGAAACAAAGCGATCATCCGAATCAGAGCTCTGCTTTCTCATTAGGTTGTGTAAATCCTTCGCCTCTTACAGAATGACACAGATGTAGAGCTTGTTGGATTGGAAAGTTATAACCATGATTTAAAATAGAAAAAGTCGACATTCTACAAGTGGTGTTTAAATGAATTGGTTCTGTCAGAATGGAAATGATAAGGACTAGAAACTTAGATCGAGGTAGAAGCAGGAGTTGTATCAGAGAAAGAAAAGGTGAAAATAAAATAAAAACATTAGCTTTTCATCGCCTATGCAAAAGACTGCTGTGTGTTCCTGAAGATTGTAGTAGAGAGTCTATTGCATGGTAAAGCAACTGGATAAGTGGAACGAATGGGTGCTAGATTAAAGAGGCAGAGAGAAACCATTGCCCTGCTCACATTTAAAAAGAAAGCAAAAGAGGAGGGGGAGAGAGGGGGCAGGCAGGAAGGGACAGAAGAGATAGCTAGTGTCACCAACGTGCTTATGTCTATCTAAGCGCATCGCCGATAACTTTCAGCACAGTCCAAGTGCATCAATGAAGAGACACCAGTTTTCAAACTGACTTTTATACAAAAACGGATCACAGCGTACTTATTTAATATACATTGTAAAGGCTCAAGCAAACTTACTTTGGAAAAAAAGAAAACAGAAATAACACCACAGCTCAAGAAGCAGAGACCTATATAGAGATAAGGGAAAGGATAGGCTTTATTTTTTTTCCCCTAAGGACAAACAGCGATGCCATGGGAGGGAGGCTGGCCCGCTGGGGTCCAGGACCTTAGCTTTGGGGAGTTTCCAGAGCTTGGCAGCATGTGTGTGCAAAGGGCTGTGTTGGGTTCCTCTAACAGGTTCTAGATAGAGAACAAAATGTCCTGACCTCATACAGGGCAGACCATGTATCCTGATGGGTGTCCAGGCGGATGTTGCCCTGGATGTCCACATCTGGATGGTAGCAAGGTATGAGGAGCACTGTGGGTGGTTATCAAGCTAACAACTGGAACTCCACGGTGGTTATACCTCAGGTCTTCACAGCTGGCACAGTGCTTCACGGATGGTCCGTTTCCCTCCGGAAAGGTCATCTGATTCACTGAACACAGAAGTTGCTTTGTCATCAGACATTCTGTGAATCATTAGCTCCTGCTGTGGCCACTTGCCCACAGGGCCTCAGGTGGCACCCCATTTGTGGACACTGGCAGTGGCAGGGTACTGATTTGGGGAAGCAATCTCTGAGCTGCTGTCATGGCAACAGGAACATGGAGAATGCACAGCAACTACAAACGAATTTTATGTGAGATTAGGAACTGTATGTTATCTGTGAGAACTCTTCTCTCAGTGTAAGTTTAAAATGATGTAATGGAGAAAGACGCACCTATTCTAGTCGAAAGAAAGCTGGGGTGTCTCTATTAACCTTACAGAGATCAGACCTTAGTCGAGAGGATATTATCAAGGAGCTGTTTCTCCTAGAAGACACCACAGTCTTACCTTACACACACGTGAACGTAACAAGAAGTATCAAAATACATGAGTCTGGAAGCTCAGAGCAAAAGGGGGCCTCAATGCTGAGGATGCCCTGCCTTAATAACCAATAGAGATCAAGCAAGATGGCAATCAAATTCCTACTGGGGCTCCTATCGGCACCATCAATCAACTTGATCTAATTGTTGTCAATAGAATAATCCAGCCAGAAGCACAATGCACGTTCTTCTTGAGCTCACAAAAATATTCACTAAGATCCACATTGGGCCATAAAATCTTCCCGTTTGGTTTTCACCATGACAAAAATGAAACGCTTTGTTTTCTCAGAACAATAATCTCACAAAGCATATTCTTGGGTCACAGTACATTTAAAGTAGAAATCAATAACAGAATGAGAGTGGAAATGCAAATGTTTGGAAATTTAACAACATGCTTCCAAACAACCAATAATTTAAAGTCATAAGAGAAATTATGTGTATCAAGCTATATACAATTCAAAATATAAATTCTGTGGCATTCAGTGAAAGAGGCATTTATGAGGACAATTATAGTAAGTATTTAGGAGAAAAGCAAACCCTGAAATCATTAATGTCCCTATCGTAAAACACTAGAAACGCGGAGAAATTTAATTAGAAATAATTGGATAGAAATTAGAGAAGAGATAATGAAACTGAAGACAGGAGAAAACTCAACAAAACCCAAATTGAAAAGATAAAGAAAATTGGTTATGCCGTAGCCTGATGGAAAGAGGAGTAGAGAAAGGAGACAACCCAGGTCACCACATGGACACAGACACGGAGGTGGGATCTCGAGAATACAGAAGGGTTGAGAGGTTCACCTCTGCGAAGAGGGAACTTCTGTGCTGCACGGGTAAAAGGCAGCTTTTCTCCCTTTTAAACTAGAAAGTCAAGTGCATGGGAAATCTACTACTATATCTATGGTTGTACTTAACATCCGCACACATGCCAAACAATACCATGCATCTTCCATGAAAACACTTAGCCCTTAATGTGACCGGGTAGATGGAGAACCCACATGGTTATGGAAGCTCTGGGAGAAACGGCCAGTGTTAAGTTACCCAAAGCTATATAAAAATGGCAGCCAACACTGTACACTGAAGATACGCTGTAGAAATCTCTGTCTCATACTGCCAGCCCATCATTTACCCAGGGAAAATGCATATTCAGATGCCTCCTTATGCTAAGGCTTTATTTCTCCGAGTGTCTCCTGACTCTGCATGTCTCGCTTCAGAGTTAGAGTACCAAGTGCGAAATACTGAGTTCAGAGGCCTCAGCAGGTGAGGGAATGTTTAGCAATCTCCTATTCCCTCTCTCCCCACAACCAGGCCCGTTCAAAGCCTTCCTAGTCAAGGCAAAGGGGCAGTGTGCCTCAGCAGAGCTGGGTGGAGAGGAGCTGCTATGACCTCTAGTTTTTCACTTAATTAAGTCCGGAAGGAACAGAAGACCTTCAGTGGTGAACAGCAAAACTCCCATGCATTAGGTATCTGTGGGTGGTGTGTGTGTGTGTGTGTGTGTGTGTGTGTGTGTGTGAGAGAGAGAGAGAGAGAGAGAGAGAGAGAGAGAGAGAGAGAGAGAGAGAGAGAGAGAGAGGAGGTTCAGAGCAGGACACTGTCCCAGATCTGTGACAGCCTGTTCAACTGCCACCTGGAGCCTATCTTCCTTAAGGGCAGTTTGGACAGGTGGCAGTTTCTGCCGAGTTGGCCTAAGAGGTGCCATTGTTCCCAGTTTTGCATCCTCCCTTTTGGAAGTGCCAGAGAGCTGACCTTCACCAATGACTCACTAACAGCAAGCCAGAAATGTCAATAAAACCCATTAAAAATGATAGCACCCTTTGATGCAGGCACGCAGTTCAGAGAATTAATTCCTCCCACCCCTCCCAGGCAGCCCTGGTGAGATTAGAGTGGGAATTGACATCCTCACGAATTTCCCATTTCCTGCCTGTATTTATCAGGAATCTAGGTCGTGACAGCTCAGATCCTTCACGTCCTGACAAGTATATGCATGCCAAAGGAGGGCAAAGCCCAAGGTCACTGTGTCCCTTCCTGTGTGCCGTCTTGATTTCTGCACATTTCAGCTCCAACTCCCTGGTCGCCAGTGGCTTCAGCACCTGGGCAAGGGCATGCATGCGAGCAACAGCTCACACCAGATGTTGTCACAGTTGCTACACAGGGTTGAGCAGAGAGACCTTGGTGCAATTCACGTTGTCCTGTTATTTGCGAAGGGACATCCTCATAGCTAGAGTTTCAGAGCAAAGGCGCCTCCTTTCCATCCTCACATTCACGTATGAGTCAGAGTCCTCCTAGTAAATGGCTCTCCATTACCACAACTGTGATCAATAGAGACATTTCTCCTGCCTTTGTTCATGTAACATCAGATCCTCCTTCATAATTATCTTACTATTTGTGATTTCCTTAATACCCAAAGGAGCAGGAGAGATTTAATTTCTCATAACTTCCTTACAAGAAATAACATGTAACTTTGGCTTGCTTGGGTAATTTTTAAAATACTCCCAAGAGTGGGATTCACGGTTGCCGATATGTGTTGTTTTCATTGATTTTTTTTTTTTAAAGATGACACCAACTTATGGTACCACTAGTATGACTACTGTCGTTTTGATTATAAATTTAAAGGCCTAGAAATTGTTATCGAAACAGGTGCCAAACTCGATGGAAAATGTGCTTGATTGTTGCATAACTCTGCTGGAGCCTGAATGGAGGGCTGAGGAAAAAAGTGAATAAGAAATGAAGAGAGGAGTTTATGCAGATGTGCATCCATGATTCAGCATCCTTTTCCTCCAGGGCTTCTATTTCTGGCAGAGTGAGGGGACCCTTTGAATGTGAGATGCATGGCAGTCTGGGCTCAAAGCAGAGCTGTCCCCTCCTTGCGAGAGGACAACTGAAGGTGAGCCAGACAGAGAATTCCAGGAGAGCCAGAAGAGCTTGACAGGAGGCTGCGTTCAGAGTGGGTCCAGCTAACACAAGGTCTTTGGGGGTTTCTTTTGGAAGAATTCTTTAATTCATCTGAAATATTCTTTCTGGGGCATTGTGATGTGAGTCACTTGCCAAAGGCAAATCCTCTCACACACAATCAAGGTGGAGAATGATGTAGAGAGGTCTGACTTCCTAAAGAAAAAAATGCTTTATGCTCAGTTTCTCAGCAGAGCTGCTCCCAGATCATAAAAGGGCAAAGGTCACAATCAGTGGTGCCAGCAAAGGTGCAAAGAAAATACATAAGAGCATGCATTACCACGGTGCAGAGTGCTGGTATGGATACACTTGACCCTTCCCGTCCAGGTTAGGAACTGAGGGCTTCTGATGTGGGCTATTGACTGTTACCTTCCAGAGGCTTCCTTCACTCTGCCAACTTCTCAAACTACTGGAGTGACTGTGCTACCCTATATGGGTATGGCACTCACTCTAAGAAGTGTTTAGTATAACGTATGTATTTGATAGGATACTAGGTGTTTCGACCAAATTTATCCACAAAAGAAAGAAAGAAAGAAAGAAAGAAAGAAAGAAAGAAAGAAAGAAAGAAAGAAAGAAAGAAAGAGTCCTTTAATTCTTGGAACCTTTGGTCTGGCCCATTGAGTAAGTGCACATCAGTGATTGAGCCTGTCTTCCAATGCTGGCCTCTACGCTCCTCTTCTATATCCTACAGCCTCTAGTGGATACACCTTGGATTCTTGTGTCCTTTGCTTATGGTGGTACATAGATCCAAGGTATCAAGAGAGGAATTTGCCCAGAAGTCTCATTGCCTCTGGAATAGCATCTATATTTCGTCCAATAGAGGTGTCTGGTGGGAATGGCTAAGGTTGATCAGCCCTCAGTGCTGCTAATTAAAGAGTTTACTACCTCTCTATCTTTTGGGAGGGAGATACACAGCGCTGGCCGGGTGCCAGCCATCTCTCAAAACCCTGCCCATCAAAAGGCAATGATAAGGCTTGATGTCTTCTTATGAGAGTGAGATGATTCATGCAGGCCTGTGCTGAATCCAGAGGAGGATTCATACTGGAAACCTGGAGAAATGCATCCTCTTCTCCCACCAGCCTCATGGATGCTCTTCTTATACCAACAGAAGAGGAGCCGTGTTCCATGTTTAAGCTCAGCCATTTGTAGTATTAAGAACTCCCGTTTTGTTTACTGCACTGTTTTCTCTGTTCTCTCACAGGAGGTGCTTGAGCTTGCTTTCTCCATATTGTATGACTCAAATTGCCAACTGAATTTTATTGCGCCTGACAAGCATGAGGTAAGGGGTCTTGGTAACGGGTTAACTTGTGAGAGAAAAATAAAAAGGAAAGGGTCTAGCAAGAAAGAAATGCCGCTTCTCATTGAATACTACTTGAGGAAATCATGAATAAAAGGATGTCTGTCGACATGGAGCGGACACCTAGACAACCACTAGCTACCACAGCTCAGAATTCTTAGCAGCTAGCAGCCTTGTGTCTTATCCAGCTTTGCTGTAACAAAATGCATGACGTCACTTGGAATAACAGATTACATCGGACCTCTATTTCCTGAGGTTTGAGTCTGTGCTCAGTTGCATTTAGATGAGTGCACATGGAGGGGGAACCTGCTTGCTTCATGGTGACAGGGAGGCAGAGAAAGGGGAAGGGCCAGTGTCTCAGTATCCCCTATGTGGATATGCCCTCCAAATGCCGAACTCTTTCCAGTGGGGCCACCTCCTGAAAGTGCCAGCCTTTCCTAATAGTTCTTTAACACAGTCCAGAGTCTAAACTGGAGGATGGTCATAAAGAAAATTGATGTGCAAATGACTCAGGCTCAGCAAGGGCTTAACTAATCTGGAGGAAGAGGCGGCCCTGGCTAGGGCTTTGATGCACATTGAATATTTAATCTTTGCTCTAGAGCTTCCCCAGATAAAATGGTGTCTCTATTCGTGGACCATCTGATGAAGTAGTTTCTCCACCAAGTCTCTTCAAGCTATTTTAAGAGGTTCAGGGCTGCCTCTGCTGTTGGAATTTTATTTCCAAGATGCTTTTATTCCTTTTTGACATCTTGTTATATGTATAATTTGTTCCTCTTCTTGAAGCACACTGTCAGCTATATTTAAAATATTTAGCATAAGTCTAGGAAAATGCATTTGTAAAATAAAGTAGCAGTTATGGTTGATTTAACTTTTTCTCTTGTAAATTAGACCCCAGCATCACGCTTGAAACTTTATTTTTAGGTAATACCATTCAAATTTTTGTTTTGCATGTAACTGCACAAACAGCTCTTAGAAGGAAAGGAACATTTTAATAGAATCTGACTTTTGTTCTCATTTCCCTGAGGAGAGTCAGTTCATTTAAAAGGTATTTAGCGTCTGGTTTTCAATGGTTTGAAGGTTTTGAATAAAATTATCCACCCCAAAGAAAGAGGAAAGATTAGACACAAATCCTGCATTTAGAATGGTGCTTAAATATAATTCTGTGTCATTTGACATTTAGTTTGCAGAAGGGTAAGACTTTGTCTTCATCTGTCTGAAAATAGATACATAGCCTCCCATTTCTGTTTTTAAATAAAGTTGCGGTTATGAACAGGCCAACATAGCCAAGATATATAAGAGACATAGAAAACGACCAAAAATAGAAGAAGTTGGGCTGTTACTTAAGTCAGTTCCAAGCTATTTTCCCCAGTATGTGTATTAATTCCAGATATGGAGAAATGCTTGAGATTGCCAAAAGTGTGTGTGTGTGTGTGTTTTAACATAGCTACCACTTCTTGTAGATTCTATATGCTCGTGAGCACTTTCAATTTCTTCAAAATCATTTTCTTCTCATAATTGCTACATAAAATAGAAGAACATTCTGTTACATATGCATCACTTACCAAATAGCGGGAAAGGGGCCTCCCAAAACTGAATACTTTACGATAAATGGATGGTAACAGGGGTCTGGAAGGATAGCTTGGTGGGCAAAGTCTTTGCTGTGCAAGTGTAAGGACCTGAGTTCCAATACCTAGGACCCATGCAAAAGTCAGGCACCATAGCACATGTCTCTAATCCTAGGGCTTCTGTGGTACGATGGGAGGAGGAAAATCCTCAGAAGTTCATGGGGCACCAGCCCGGTCTGCACAGCAGTGAACCACAAAATAGTGACCGTCTCTAACAAAGAACTAGATGAGGACTGACACTTCCATCCTGTGGTACACACATACACACACACACACACACACACATAACACACACACAAAGGCTCTCTATCTTGCTCTTTAACTGCTACACACATGCACACACACACACACAGAGGCTCTATCTCTTCCTCTTTAACTGTTATACACATAACACACACACACAAAGGCTGTCTCTCTTGCTCTTTAACTGCTACCCACACAAAGACACAAAGTGGTACACACACACACAAAGGCTCTCTCTTCCTCCTTAACTACTACACTCTCACACACACAACACACATACACAAAGGCTTTTTCTCTTCCTCTTTAACTGCTACACAGATGCATGCACACACACGTGTGTACATGCACATTTGCAATTACACAGAATAATTATAGGTACCCTGCACCTCTCCGCACCTGCCCCCATTAAATACAGTACAGATTTATAGTCATTTTATAGGACAGCAGTCTCCCTGGGCTGATATCAAGGAGGCAGCAGGCTGCATTCTCTCTCAGAGACTCTAAGAGGGAGACTTGTGTCCTTACCTTTTTTCTACTTCAGAGACCACCTACATTCTTGGCCCCCATCAGTTTCATCAATGACAACTTGAGTTCTCTCTTCAAATCATTCTCTCTTCCTGTTCCATAGTGAACTCCATTATCTTACCCTCTTCTGACCCTTCCTTCTCTCTGACATTAAGGGCCCTTGGAATTACATTGGATCACCTAGATAATCTAAAATAATCTCTCTATTATGGTCAGCTGGCAACAGCCTCGCTTTTCCCACATAGCCTAAGATTGCCCAGAGTCCTGGGAGTAGGATGTCGACATCTGTGAAAGATGGATGGTCCATCTACCCCAAGCAACAACATCATTACAGTATCACTCTTCCCCAAGTGTCTTGTTGATACTTCTGGTCAGAAGCCTAACACATTTCAAACTCAGCTTTTAAATAATATCTGTGGCGCTTTCTTTTTGGTTGTCTTGCCTCTGTTTTCAAATTTAGCATCCACAGATGATTGATTGATGCCTAATCCTTGGATTCACTAGAGTTTGCAAAAGGCTATGTCTCAATTCTACCGCCCCATTTTTATTTATTAGTGAAATATATACAGAGAATCGGGTCTCAATAACATTTTGCATCCTAAAATTGGAATGCATGATGGCAGGACAAATACTTGATTCCTCTGTAAATTTTGAAGATAATAAGCATTTCCTAAAGAAGATCAAGAGGGTTTGTTTGATGTGTGAGTATCATTTTGAAGTCAAAAGTTAAAGCTCTTTTGTGTCTTTCAATGTTATTGTTGTCTGTATTAGTATCTTGGTTACCCTAAGTTGTCTTACGACTCTTAACAACATGGCTCCATTTCTTTGATGGCTTTCTGGCTTTCTGGTAGGACAAGATAGTCCAGGTTCACCTTGTTTGTTTCCTGCCTTTTCTCTGTCAAGCCTAGTTACTTTTAATAGGAATTAGTAATTAGCCACCACAATCTTGGTTAAAAAAAGAAAAAAAAGATAAAATTATTACAATTTGGTTATAATTTTTAGGCTTTTTGGAAAATAGAGCTAAAGGTGAGGCTTTTTTTTTAACCATAAAATATATCATGAAATAGTGCTGGGAAATCCAACTCAAATTCAGTAGTACCAGATTTTTCTTTATCGGTCAATGTAATTTTTGATGAAAAGGTCATTGCCTGCTGCTTCTCAAAAAGCAATGTTCCTGTGGGTTAATCTGTACCAGGAAGGTGGCCAAGGCTGGGAAAGCTTTGTTCAAGGGACAATAGTCCCAGGACTTAAGGATCACTGTGACATGCTGCCAGAGCTGTGAAGGCCTTCTGGAGCGCAGCACTCAATGGTACGCACACCTGGGTGTTTGTCAGAATGGCCTGAGAAGCTCTTATAAATAAAGTCTCTTCACCCCGACTGGCAGAATTGGTTCTCTCCAGGCTGGGAAGTAGGTCCCTATTTCTCTCCTTTTTTGTGAGCAGATAGCTGGTTGGAAATGGTCAGAAAATGACTGAGATATTCATGAGCACACGGGTGCTTCGGAAGTGTTTTAGCACCACACTGGAGTCTGGGATCACACAGCGGAGGTAGAAAGTAGTCTTCACAGCCTACTGCTGCTCCCTTCAGTTGTGGCTCACCTCAATGTCACTGATGTGCATAGTGGCAGACTTTTCATCACATCACACACAGCGGTTGTAGCATCTATTGCTTCTGTTGAAATGCTGCATCACATAGTGGGCACAGCCTAAGTAACCATCTAGCATTTTGTCTCATCACTATCTGGAATTTTAACTTGACCCAGCGAATACAGGAAAGGATGGAATTTATAGCAAATCAATGTTAGGAAGAATTCCAAGCCGGCAAGAAACAGGACAATTATCGGCATAGACTCCTGTGTAGGACCAGGGACCACCTATCAGGTGAATGAGCAGCAACCAGTATATAGGCAGGGTTTTTTTTGGTTTTGTTTTGTTTGTTTTGAAATCTTGGCTCTTTCTCCAAGCACCAATGGTTCTCTTTTGAAGTTAGAGCAGAACTCTACTTTCTGAAGGGGAATCTGCCAAGATTAATGTAGGTCTTCAGATAAATGAGACATGGTTCCTTCTCCCCAGAATTTTATAGTCTGCTGAAGAGGCAAAGACTGGCATTCATTTTATAAAGAGAAAGAAGAAAACCTTAATAATGTACTCCAGAGTGTTTCCCGAGCAAGATGATGTCCGCAGGGATCAACCACTCGAAGCCCTGGGCACTAGAGACCCAGATACAGGAGGTCCTGACAGGCAGTCAACCTATATCTTCCCAAGATAACAGATGATGTTAGCCAGTTTGGTTATCAAACAGTGGGCAACTGAAGGCTAATTTCTAGTTCTGTTTTGCTAAGAAGTACAAAGGCTACCTTGGCTCCACAGTGAAACTGGGTTGTCAGTGTCTATGCTTAACTATTAGACCTGGTAGGAAGGCGTTAGATACTAAACAGGGAACTGTAATGGGTATCAAGAATGATGTGCTGCTAAGTGCAGACATATTGGTATACATTCTACCTGTGTCTTACAGAGAGCTATCCTACTGCACAGTCAAGAGAATTCGATGTTTTGTGTCCATAAGGAAACATTCTTGTAAGAAGAAGCTTTGGGAGTTGGGTTGCCTGAGTTACAATCCTACTCATTCCATTTCCTCCTACATCACTTCATTCCTCTGTGCTTTTGTTCTCTTAGCTTTAAAAACATACGAGAATAGAAGTCTCTGCTTCATAGAGAGGATATGGGCATGAGATGAACACGTAAGACAGTCTGGCATATGCCGTGTACTTAGTTCCAGTAACTGCTGGTCCTGTAATTTGTCCTCGGTGATGTTCATTGCCACCTTCTTTCCCACCAGTATTGCATCTGGACAGATGGGCTGAACGCACTGCTTGGGAAGGACATGATGAGCGACCTGACGCGGAATGACCTAGACACCTTGCTGAGCATGGAGATCAAGCTCCGCCTGTTGGACCTGGAAAACATCCAGATCCCGGATGCTCCTCCACCCATCCCTAAGGAGCCCAGCAACTATGACTTCGTCTATGACTGTAATTGAAGTGGCTGGGCCTGGACACATTCCTCCTAAACTGGAAGATCTAGCTATGAGCAGAGAGGAGCGCAAACACACCCACATGTTGGGACCATTTTTTGGTGGTGGGAAGCTGCAGGTCAACCCTTCCTTTGGCCTCATTTTTAGCCTTTTTTTTTTTTTTTTTTTTTTTTGGCTTCTTACCATCTCCTGGAATCTCCTTCCTGACTCAGTATTTCAGGTCACTCCACTGCCCGCTCACTGGTGGATCATGACCAGAAACCACCACTAGTAAGGAAGTCAAATAATCTTCTCATTCTAACCTGATGTGGCCATGTCCTGCCCTTCTTCCTGCTTGCCTGGAGTAGGAAATCCAATTAGTCCCACACTGCCCCAACTTAGCTTACTAAACCATGAAAAATGCCTAAGGCCGGGATTGGGTAAAATAGCTCTGTTACTGGACAAGAAGACCAAAGGCCGCCACCTCCTACCCCTTCTTTCTAGGGTCAACTCACATCATCAGTTCTCTGTGAGTTGAGATCGCTTTCGCATCTCCTCTCTCTCCCTTCCTGGCCTTGACCTTGCTCTGGTCCACTTTGGTTCCGTGTGTAGCAGCAGCAGCCTCATTCCAGTCCTCTGCAGCACCAGGTCTCCCAGACCGTCCACAGAGCCCATGCCTGCTCCTTGTCTGCACTGTGACCATGACCATGACCAACCTCTCTGGCACACTGTCTAGTCTTGGGGTCCTCTCCTTATTGCCCCAGCCCAGACCTGCCTTCTTCATTTCTTCAAGCTCCCAGCAGCCCCTTAGCAGAAAGCACAAATGAAGTTAGTCGTCCTGCTCCATCTCAAATAGACTAAACCTAACAGCCTCTAAGGCGGCTGGCTGTTGCTATCCAACAGTCCCATGTCACCTTGTCCTTGGGGCTCCTGCTACGACCCAGGTTCTCCAGGGTGGTCAAGCTGTCAGACATCCAAGTTTACATCGTTGTAATTATTCTAGGTCTTTACAATTTACAAGGGTTTGGGATTCTTTTGTTTTGTTTTGTTTTTGGCTTTGTTTTTGTATAAAAGAGTCTAACATTTTTTTTGCCAAACAGATATATATTTAATGAAAAGAAGAGATACATAAATGTGTGTGCTTTCCAGTTTGTTTTTAATTATTTTAATCCCAAACATCTTCCTGAGAATAACATTCCCTTCAACATGCTGTGGAATAAAATTAAATGTGACGAGTTGGGGAGCTGGTGTTTTGATTTAGTAATGTGGGTCCTTGCTACTCAGTCTTTAGCATCACCTGGGAGCTTGATAGAGATGCAAAACTAATCAGCCCCTCCAGACTTCTGAACTGGGCTATGTGAGTGGGTGTTCGTTTGGGAAGGCGCATTGATCATCGGCTCTAAGCATAACCCATATCCTTTCTAGGAAGCACATCCAAACTCACCAATGAGACTCACTCTACAAAGGTAGGATCTGTTCACTTTACATTGTTGCCTCCTCAACACACTTTCCCATTATTTCCTCCTTACCATTACGTGGTTTATAGAGTCAGTCCAATTAAAGATGCTACTGACACTGAGGGGAACACGTTTAACAATGGGAAAAGAATGCAAGCCCACACTCCTGAAATCAGTTAAACCAAAACCAAGTAAGTCTAACAATGAGCTAATAAGTTGATGGTCAGCGCACAATAGAAAATTCTTCCTAGGTCAGCTAGCTCCCCTGCAAGGATCCTACGGATCACAAACTCTAAAGGCTGGGAAAGATGACAGAATTCAGTGCAGTGCAGCTCAGCCATTCTGAGCTGACAGCCAAGCTGCAGACACATGCAGGCAACTGCTCTTTATGGCTGTCAAAATGGTCAATTACAGATTGGCCTGGGCTCAAATGACATGGTCCAGAGCATGCCATAAATTACAAAATCTATAGTCATTCACAGGGGTCATTCTTTACACCAGAGTGTCCACACCAGAGTGTCAGGTTGACATTTCTTTCATCTTTAGGCCCGGATGTTATTAACACACATATCCTTCCTGCCAGAATCATCTGTTGTTCTACCTGCCATGTGCTGTTAGGTAAAAGAAAGTCAATAGAGGCATACCACTTTTTACTTGGAGGTTTAAGAGATCCATCTGTCCTGTGGCCTGGCTGAGAATTCATCTCCTCATGGTATTCCTACTTTGTTCCAGTAATAGAATTTTTTCTTTTCCATTGCCACTAATAATTTTACATATTTGTTGTACAATACAGTGTTTTGATCCATGTGTACACCAGGTAAAGATAAACCCTCTCCATTGCTGTAACCTTTTATCTCCATATTGAATACGCTCTAAAGTGAAATCCCTTCTAGAGAACTTGAGATGTGCCTCACCTTGTGACCTGCATCCACATGACTGTGCTGCAGAACCCCAAAATGTATCCCTCCTTTCTCACCACTGTCACAGTGCCCACTGGCCAATACATTCTCTGTTCCATGTTCTGCTCTGGTCCAGCCCGCAGTCTGTATTCACTATTCTTCTCTCAGCAGCTACGGATTTCATAGGGGCTTTCATTTTCTGTACTTGACCTTATTTCATTTGCTGTCTTCCAGTCCCACCCATGATGTTGAAAGTGGCTGTATTTTGTCTTTTTGTGGATGCATAATATCCCATTGCCTACACATACCACACTCATCTGTTGGTGGACACTGAAGCTCACTCCGCCTCACCTAGCCTTTGCGAATCTTGCTGCGGTAAATGGGAGTGCAGGTTTCTTTTTTGTATATGCTAAGGACACACCTCTTCACACATTGACAACATTCTGAGATTAAGCTGTCATTGCTCTGTATTTATTTTGTGGCGCAAGGTGGCAAACGGTTGTTGCTCATATTCACCCACCTCACCTCTCTTGAGGCTGCTCAAGGCATTTCTCACACATAGCCCAGTACCTCAAGTTGAATTCTTCTAACCTCAGTTCTCCTAGCCCAAGCAAGCATGGTCCCTTTAATGCAGAAGAAAAGAAAAAAGAAAAAAGAAAAAAAAAAACCTGTTTGGCGTGAGGTCCAATTAATCTAAATCTGCTGATATTTTAAGAGCAGAGAAAACCAATGGTTACTTAAACCAAAAATGTGCAGTGCTAAATGTTCTGTGAACTCATGTGCAAATCTTCCAGTTAGCAATGAAACATTTTCGTAAGTCATTTTGTCACATAAAATCAGAAAGCCTCAGCCCAGTGCAGCAAGTGAGATCAGGTGAGTCCTGGTAGGGCACATCTCTAATCCCAGCGCTCGGGCAGCCTGGCCAATCTCTGTGAGATCAAACCTAGTCTGGTCTACATAGCGAGTTCCAGACCAGCCAGGGCTACAGAGATGAGGAGCACACACCAGTAATTCGCGCAGAAGAATCTCACATTCAACATAAGCCGGGACCACATAGTGAAACCCTTCCTCAAAAGTCACAAAAGATAAAAAATCAAAGCAAACACTGTGGTAATGGAAAATGAGTGGCAGAAAATCTAGTTGGGTCTTAAAAGAGTAGAGATACTTGCCATGGAATCAATGCACCATCCAGGTAAAACAAAGAGTGTAGAGGCAGGAGGTAGGAACACCTGTGGCCACTCGGGAATCTTCAAGCCTCTCTAACTACCAGATAAGGTACACACCGAGGCGAAAGTCTCTACCACTGAAGAGCAATGGTTCTCACCCATCCTAATGCTGCAGCCCTTTAATACAGTTCCTCATGCTGAGATGACCCCCAACCATAAAATTATTTCATTGTAACTTCGTAACTGTAGTTTTGCTAGTGTTATGAATCATAATGTAAACATCTGACATGCAGGCTATCTGATAGTTGACCCCTAAAAGGGTCACGGCCCCCAGGTTAAGAACTGCTGCTGTAGCAGAATAAAGTCATGGATGGAGAATTCATGGAGAGAGGTGGCAAGGGACTTTAACTTGAGGACAAAATAAAATACTCTAAGAGTGTTGTCTGTTTTTGGGGTTCGGAAATAGGAAAAAACAGCTATGCCCAGGAAAGACTGGAGTAGAAGAAATTGGAAGCAGACATAACAGCAAAGATGCTATTGAAGTAGTCCCAAGCAAGAACCTTCGGGGCCCAGACTTTCAAATCTACAATTGGAAAATGGAGGGGGATGAAGTCATGGAAGAGGCAGTGTGATCTGGGAGCAGAGACTAATTAAGCAGCGAGCGAGGGAGGGAAGGTACAGATGACTCCTGGGCTTCAGAAATAACACACGAGCAAGCAGATAACAGGACCGGGCCAATAGCTAAAACCAAGAGGAAAAGCAGAATGGGAGATTTTAGGAAAGGATGATGAAGTGAGATAATGAGATTGTTGTATTTGTTGGACTTCTGCGAAAAGAACAATAAAATTTGGGTTAAGCTACTTAACCACTGGGAGCCTCTTACTAGTTTCCAAAATGGGATTCTCATCACTTGGGAGTATAAATGAATGTCTGCAAACTGTCCGTGCTCAAAAAGTAGGTCCCCCCATCTCCCTTCCCCCCCATTCTTTCTCTTTTGTTACTCCCAACCTTCTGAGTTTAGGATCTTTATCACTATTCATATGTTTCGAGCAATCCAGCTCGTTTGAGAAGAGTTAGAGGGAGAGAGAAAAAACTGGAAAATTAAAACTCTATATATTTAATAAAAGATCTTGGATAAAACAATAAAACCACAATTTAAAATAAGTCCAGGAGAAAAGAATGGATGGCATAATCCTATAAGCAAATAGAATTAGATCTAAATTTTAAAATGTAATTTCATTTCTTCTCAGTGGGACTGTGTAAGTAAAATGATCACTTCAAGCACAATGCTTATTTTTAATTAAAAAAAAAACTCAGAACACACTCAGAGGAAAGAAAGGACTACAATAAAAAAAACATATAAGAGGATATAAGGATAGTCAGTCTGTTGAGTACTAAACCTAAATCTGGTCTTCTTGGAAGCCAGAATAAATGAGGAAGCAGATTGCAGTATATTGCTCTCCTGTTTTTAAACAACATTATACTCATAAGGAAATGCCTTTCCCTGGCACCAACGTTGGGAGAAGGCATTCTATTACAATACCTGATCAATAGATACCTCTTAGCAGGTCACGTTTGTTACTCAGCTTCACAGAGTGAAGGATGTTTCCATTGACCCTTTGAGAAAGAAAGCAAGTAAGTTCCCCAGAAGGGACCCGCATGAGCCCTTGAATGAGTTCAGTGACAAAGTGATGCATAAGAGATTGAGGAAAGGAATCTCAAAAGTAGAACCAAAAGGAAAGCTTGGCCCTAGAAAGGTTCACAAATGCATGTGCTGCTGCCAAGGCTAGAAGACAGGTCATTGGCATGGAACAAGGTCATTGGACAAATAATGCAAAATTCCATGGAATTTCCATGGCCAGTCACTTGTCCATAGTGCCCAGAACATGAGGCTATGGTTTCAAATTGCCTGTCCTAGCGATCTGGAAATAGAGACAAGTCCGTGCAGTGCATGCCTAAAATGACCACGATGTGCACCTGCTGAGCTGGTACAATGAGCGTGAGGGGACTGCCTCCATCTGGGAGAAGGCTGGCCTGAAAGAATAAGAATGACAAACAGGGATTGCCCGTCAGATGACCAGGGGAAAAATGCTGTTGATTGCTTTTTGTTGTAGTGGTAAAAGTAAATTGTGGAAGAGTTTATTTGGCTTATTCTTCCAGCAGAAGAATCTTTAAGGGTGGGCAAGTCCATCTTGGGTATCCATCAGTGAAGCCAGCAGGATTTAGTGGATAGTTTCAACTCATAGTCACACAGATGGTGCGTGTTAAGTTCAGTGAGCAAAAACAAGACAAAAAGTAATGAATATAGGAAAAGATTCGTGGGGAAGAAAGTGGTATAGGAGGTCCTTCTGTTTATGTGTTGCTTCATTGGTTAATCAATAAAGAAATTGCTAGGCCTGATAGGGCAGAACTTAAGTGGCAGAGAAGACAGAACTGAATTCTGGGAGGAAGAAAGCAGAGTCAGAGAATCACCATGGGGCTGCCAGAATCAGACATACTGAATCTTTCCCGGTAAGCCACGACCTTGTGGTGATATACACATATTAATAGAAATGGGTTAAATCAAGATGTGTCAGTTAGCCAGTAAAAGGCTAGAGATAATGGGCCAGGAGTAATTTAATTAATAAGGTTTCTCTGTGGTTATTTCAGGTGTAAGCTAGCTGGGCAGCAGGACAAACAAGGAACCTGCTCCCATCAACAAGAAAGGGCACTA